CGTTTCAGTATAAACCACTGTTTGGCTATGTAGGTGTTGAAAAAATACAAATGAACCTGAGCTGATGAGCATGCTCAGAAATGAGCAGCCATTCTGAACATACAATACAACCTACTTTGTGATGTATTTTTATTATATTGTATATTGGGGATGTTGTTTAGCTTATTCTGTACTGCAGAGTATTCAATCAAAACCAAAATGATAGTGCCTAAAGCAATTGCTGTCAGCATCTTTATAGTCATTTATTTCGAAAATGGCAATTTCCTATTTTTCTGAAAAAAAGGCCAGCACAGCCAGGCATCATTGCTTTCTACTTATCGGTGAAGCATATTAGAGCACAGGATTGTTAATTGAAAAATATAATGTTTTGTCTTTGCTGTGTTTCCATTTTATTATCTATCCATTTAGGAGAAGAAAAATAAGTAATGATCAATTTTGTACTTGTAAAACCTATAATCCCCACAGTTGTTGCCTATTAATGCTCTCAAAACATTTTAAATAAGGCATGTTTGCAATATGATACAAAAGATCTTCAGGTTTGTATGAAAATGTCAATTGCACTTGGATGACCCTTGACTTTTTTTTTTTTTTGTTTTTTTGTTTCTTAGTATTGTGATTTGATCCGTGTCCAGCCTTCACTTAATTATCAATGTGATTCCATCACAGATCTGCACTTTTTACCCTGCTTCATGCACCAAACAATCTTTTGCTAAACTCTTCCAAGAAATGCTCATTGGTTGATTGGGACTAACATTCTTACCTAACCTTTTTAATGCTGCAAACTTCGGTTGACCTGAAGTCACATATCACTATTCTTACTGACTCAGTCATTGAGGCATGCACCATAAATGTGGACATTCATTTTCCAAGCATTTATGTTCTTTACTCAGAACTGCATAGAAGACACAATTTTACAGAAATGTTCAACTGATTATAATTAAAACAAAACAAACTTTCTGAGACAAGTTTTTGTTATTATTCACTAATATTTTCGGACTATCAGTCTCATTATTGTTGTTTTTTTATGAGATGGGATGGAAAGTATAGCAGCTAAATTATTGTGATAAAGATAACAAAGATGGGGGATGCTAGTAAAAAAAAAAAATTGTTAAATAATGATTTATTTGTAAAGTATTTTATTTGCTAATTCTATAAATTAATATATGTAATACATTAAATGGATGTGCAGTGTAGTGTAATGGATAACAGCATGGAATGCAAAATTGGAGAACCATATCTGAATTCCTGTCTGATTTGTTACATTCATTTAAATGCAAATACACTTAAGGAAAGGTATGAATCTATCAATCCTCCCTGCAGCTATGGGTTCAATAGCATTATAGAATGGGGGTCATATAGCCTTGGTTGGAACAAGTCTACTGCAGAAAGAAACAGTAGCCTACTGCAGGAAATCTTCTACCTAGTCAGTCATCATTCAAAGAGACACTTTAAAGTGGTTTATTTAAAGTCGAAACATATTTTGGGTTGTTGGAGGTTGTCAAGCAGACCCCCACCTACGTACTGACCAGGCTCAATGCTGTTTAAATTAGGTGATCAAACAAGAACCAATGTTTCCAGTACTGTAAGCTTGCAAGAAGAGAATGATCATCAATAGTTTTTAGCTTCAATTTGTAAATCAATCTTTGCCAAAATATGGTTATTTTCTCTTCAGTGCTGCACAAAATACAGCGCTACCTGATTCTGCAATGTCAGCAACAAGTTTACTTTGACCCCAGCAGTCATTGCTTGGAACTACTTCCTCAATTCTGAATGTCATTACAAACCAAGCTGGGAAGTTTTCAAATTAATATTTGGCTTTTGAGCCTAAAGGGAGTCATCCCTCAAGGCAGTACCTCTCTCTTTCAGGAGGGAGCCGGAGGTGTTCTCAAAAATGGAAATGTCAAAAGGGATTGAGCAATTCTTTGGAAAATCCACCTAAAACTTGACCTTGTGTCAAACATGGCTAAGCCTAAAATATTGGGTGTTGCATGATGAAAAAAAGAAAAATACTTGCTGCCACACTTAAATATGGATTAAATCTGGTAAAAGATAAAAAAAATGTCACAAAATTCAAATTGATGCAATAATGAAAAATTTATGTTTAAAAAAAAATAAAGCAGCAAAGCAACAATTGATCAAAAAATAAATAAATAAAAATTAATTAATTCTTACAATCCCAAAATATGTTTCAGTTTTAAAAAATCCTAAAAGTTGTAAAAAACAAATCAATCAATATTCACTGTTATTAAGCAAGTCTTCATTATAAAAATTGATCTGAAATTTATTGAGTTTAAATTATTATTTGACTTAGAACTTATAAATTGTTCTAATGATAACTAATGTGTTTACAATTAGTGAATAGTTCTGTATTAAAAAAATGATTTTTTTATTCTTTTATTGAATATCTTTTCTATTTTTCCTTAAGACAAAAGCTTAATTCTGTAATGAAGAATTAAGAAGAATAAGAAGTGTGAGTCAAAATCTATATTTAGATTATTCAGTTTTGACATTCTAATTTTGAACTGGTGTGTGGGGGGGGGTCGTCATTATTTAGTAAGGAGTCAGGAACTGACATTGTTCACTGTTGTCTTCTTATAACTTTATATATGATTACCAAAAGTCAAGACTTGAAATTATTATTTCTTTTATTTGCACACAGTTATTCCTTTCTTAAATTCTGCACTATTCTCTTTCTTTCTCTTTTCATAAAGAAATGCTTACTTACTCTATCATTTTTTTGTGTCCTGTTCTTTATCTTAATAAATATATAATGAAAAATTTAACTTTCTTTAAATTTATTTAATAAAAGTCATTTTAATTTTTTTATGAGTTGTTTATACTATTGAACTCTCTTTCCTGATGAGGTCTATAGAATAGATTGGCTGAAACATTGTGGTAATAACAAAAGCAACACTAAGTTCAATAGTCTAAACAAAAGTACAGTTATATATTTTCATTTTTTTTTAATATTTTTGTTATATTTTGTTTTTTTGTTAGATTTTACATTTTTAGCTAAATTATCAATTAGTCATCAATTTTTGTTTAGTGTTTCAAATTTTTCATGATTTTTCCTTTGATTTTTATGCATGCATGTCAGCTTGGCTACATGCCAAGAATAATTAATTTTAAAAATTTCAGCATTCTAACATCTTCAGTGTTTCCTGTCAGTACATAGTTATAACCAATGTTTGTGTTTTTATATCTTCTCCATCCCCACTTCTTATATCTTCCTCATTCCCTTCTTAAACATAAGTAATGTTTATATAATTCCATCATCAAAAACATTACTTACATCCATCAAAGTCCTTACACAAATATTCACTTGCACAAAAAATGTTATTCTTATAGTCCAAAATATATTTCACCTTTAAATAACCCAAAAAGAGTTGATAAGCTGTAAAAAAAATAAATCAATCCCAACTTCTGGCATTAATATAGTTCTTCCTCTGAATTTGGCTGAGGTCATTTGCCATTTGTTTATCTTCATTGACTGGAATATTGTAGATGGTTTAATCATATAAGATGTGATGGTTTAAGGAAATCTTCATAGCAAAAAACTTTCTTTTTTTTTTGTGGGAAGGGGATTAAAAAAAAAAAAAGCAACAATCATTTTTTTTCTCTTGATAAAACCCAATTTTATGCATTTGTATTTCTAGATTATTTAATCCATAAATACAGTCGGACATTAACAGCTGTACAAAGAACAACAATTTAGTAGAAAAAGAGAAATATTTATCACAAGGAAATTTATCTTTTGTAAAGTTATTCAAAAGGATAATAATTTTTCATCAAATATATCTACCATTTTATATTTATATAATGTAAATATGATTTACATATAGTACTGTGTTGATAGGTAAACAAGTTAGCAGCTTACTTTTTTTTTATATACTAATGTCCACCCAATACAAGGCCCAAGAGCCATCCAAAATAGAAGCTTACTAAATGAAATGTGTGATATAAATGTAAGAAAAGGAAGTGAAGATTATGAGGATAGATCAAAACTAACCCCAGACTTGAAGAGCTTAAGATTGTCATGTTTGAGGAAGCACCCACATGGAAATCTATACCCCAAAGTAGTGTTTATTAGGCCAGATAAGTGTTTCCCCACCTGTTTTTAACTTCAGGGCCACGCACTTGTAGAATAACTAAAATTCTGGGGCAGACCTTAAATATTAATGAAGAAAAATTAGTTACAAAATTTGAAAATATTAAATTTTGGTTTAGCATTCCCAAAGAGGCTTAATGATACAGCTTTAATTCAAACAGATTTATGAAAAACGATTTTTTTTTTTAAATAGGCCGACTATGATTGATTTAAATCTCTTTAGGAAGGTAAAAGGGAAAGGATTATCCACTCCTTAAAGATTAAGGAATTTAGCATCCCGTTTAAAAATATCAAATAATAAAGAATTGACTTATTGCTTAGTGTCTCTATAAAAATTTTTTTTAAATATAAAAATAATTCATAAATTAATTTTCTGTTAACTTGGAATGCACTTGGCTACTTTTCACGGTGCATTAGTGTATCTGATCACACCAGTTGAGAAATGTTGGAATAGATATATGTACCAGTTGTCTGCGGTAACCACGCAGATGTCACATTTTTACATATAAAAAAACAAATATATTTTTATATCTTTATTTTTTCTTCTTTTATGGGAAGATTATATATAAAGGGTACTTATAAAAAAAAGGAAAGACAATAGAACAAATAATTTATGAAAAGATAACTGCATAAAATTGATTGTTTTTTTTTTTTTGTGTTTTTTAATTTTCAATTGTAATATTTAAACATTTTTTTTTTTTCTTGCAAATTAAATTTATTTCCATCCTTACTGGTCTGGTTACACTGAAGTTATTAATTTTTCAAAATTCTTGTTTAAAATTGCTGACAATTTTAAAAAAAAATACCTGAAACTGGTTTTTGTTATAATTAATTTTATTTTGGTTTTCCATTTCTCTTTTTCCATGTTTTTTTTTTTTTTTTTTTTGTAAAGGCAACTTGATCGTTTGATGCGTCAGGAAACCAAATTTGGTAGTAAAGGATCCGCAGTGTTGAACAATGAAGCTGTTGCGACAGACGGAGCTCCTCTGTGATAGATCAAATGAGCGCAATATTGATTAATTGAAAATGATAAGTATTGTTGCTATGGGCAACAGGGATGTTGGCCTTTTCTCTCTGATTCACATGGCCTGTAGTGTCATCAAGACTTATTTGCTACAAAACATGGTGATATCTGACTTACAAACAACATCTGCTGGACGTGCAACTGGGACAGTTTTATGAGGTCTAAAATTAATGGAGCATAGTCAACATACAAACTATTGTATATTTCACAATTGAATCAAATTGTTAAATGTTAAACAGTCCATGCAAACAAAAGTAAAAAATTTTCAAAAATAAGTATCAGTATTTCTAAATGAGAAAAATTTTCAAAAAATATCCTAAGGAAATTAGTTGTCTAGATTGTCCACTCATCTGAAAGTGTAATTGAAGTTTTTTTTTTTTTAATTGAAAAGTCTTCGGTCTTTTTCAAGTGGTGGTGTGAAGCTTTGCTACTGTATACGAATACTGTGCCTATCTCTCATTAAACTTACATCCAACTCCCATAATTTCTACCTAAAGCTATATTTATTAAGAGACCACAAAATCCTGTCCTTATTTGTGCTTGTACTCATTGGTTGAACTCTTAACTGTCACCTGTTGAAGACCGGAGAGTTGCTAGTCAAATTGTAATGTTTAACTTCAATTTCAGCATGTTTGTACTGCTTTAATAACTCTCTTGGCTCAATGTTTAGCTACTAAAAAACATTTTGAAACAAGACAAAGTCAATCAATAGCTGAGGGTCCAATTATAAGTAAATGAGGCTTTAATTTGCTGCTCTGAATGTGCAAATATTTGCTTGATTGTGAGGATGTGTGTGTGTGTGCGCGCGAGTGAGACATATAAGAGGCACAATGGTCTGCAATCATGGATACTGGCCATTCCATTGTCATTAAGAAAATATTTAAGTATTTAATATAAAATTGACTCCTCACTCCTCCCAAAATAACATTTTATTATGGTATAATAGTTCAGAAAATGAAAATGGCATATTAACATTGACATGCAACAGTTAATGTGCCTATATATGTAAATATGCAAAATATATATATATATATATATATATATATATATATATGTGTGTGTGTGTGTGTGTGTATATATATATAGTGAGGTCACTCATAAATGAAAAAAATGCTTCTAATCAATAATTATAAACAAAAAATCAAATATTGATGACTGATTTACATGTTTTTCCAAATAACCTTTGTTATATATAATGGATGTTACAAGGCTATATATATATATATATATATATATATATATATATATATATATATATATTCAAGCATGTTAGATTGAATAATCTAAACATATTATGCCCATTTATTTTTATTTTAATTCTTTCAAATTCATAGATCAATTTCTTAATGTTGCCATTAAACTCATTAAGGAAGGTGTCATAGTTTTTCTCATTCCTTTTATTTTTTCCAAGTACTTTCAAACTCATCCAAGATCATCTTCAGAGGTGACTTGCTATGACTAATGCAATCAATAGTTGTGAATTTTTTTGTAAATGTGCATAAAACGCGCTCTGTTGATTAAAAAATTAACGTTTTCAAGGGAAGTAACTTTATTTATATTTGTAAAAACTTTTTTAAATCAACAAATTTTTTGAATCAACAAAGAGCGTTTCATGTGCATTTACAAAAAAAATTCACAACCATCTATTACATTAGTTTTTGTCTTAGCAATTCATCACTGAAGATGATCTTGGAAGGGTTTGAAAGTACTTGGAAAAATAAAAGGAATGAGAAAAACTACTATGCCTTCCTTAACAGGTTTAATGGCAACATTAAGAAATTGATCTGTGAATTTGAAAGGATTAAAAGAAAAATAGACATAACGTGTAGATTATTCAACCAAACATGCTTGAATGAAGATATGCTGCCTAAAAGTATTTTACACACACACACACACACACACACACACACACACACACATATATGTGTGTGTGTGTAAAAATTCAGATATAAATAAATTATATCTGTAAAGACAATATAAATAAGACAAAAGGAAAACTTTTCTTTACCTTGATAAGGTTCCTCAGTGAATGAAGCATATAGGTAAAGAAAAGTTTTCCTTTTGTCTTGTATAATACGCATGTGTTTGTGTGTGTGTGTATATATATGTATGTATGTATATATATATATCTTCATCTATCTACCTGTGTCTTTATACTGATGTGCACATGCAAATATAATTCATTTGCCATTATAGAACACCAGTATTGAAAAGCAATGTAAAATATTAAACATTTGGTGAAAGAATCTTTGTCAAAAGCATCTATTAATCTATTAATCCTTAGGAGATGCTGTAGTAAAAGTACATTTTCATTGATTTTATTTAGTTTGATGTAGAAAACAAAAGACAAAAAAAAATGTTGGTGCTTGCAATTAAAGAAAGTAGCAGTTAAATGAACTTCTTTGAAATGTTCAATATGAACACAGTTCACCCCGCCCTTTTTTTCTAATATCTAAATACAAGATATTCGGAACAAATGCTCTTTTTGTAGGCTTCATTGTTGAACATCATTAAAACCAGCTTACTGTGTAAATTTCTAGCTTATATTTTGTCTTTTACCAATTGTCAGTTTTACTGATATGCAAAAAGAATCACAATAACATGCTGGGAAGAAAGTTGTGTCACTAATACAATGATAAAAAAAAAAAAAAAATGGAATTAAAAACACTCAGCAATTTACCAGGAACTATTTCATGGGCTTGCACGATAAAAGGTTTCTCAAAAATCAAACATTTCCTCTTCCTACTCAGAAAAAGTAGCACAAAAACTTACTTGTAAAAGTGACCAGACATTCATAAAAATACACATGCACTTTGCAGGAAATATGATTTCCTATAGTTGGGATAGTTTAGTAATATTTATCAAATTGTCTACAATTTCAAAATATTAATTTTCTTAAGTATTAATAAAAAAAAAAAGACATAATCCCAATTCTTGGAAATCATATTTCCCACAAATGAACATTTTTATTTTTCATAATGATTGATTACATAAACAATTATTTTCCATTCCTGTCTCCTTCCCACCATCCCTGAATATTTTATCTGGCAAGTCTATAAAGTTGTTCCTGGTTGCTAACAATGCATGAATAATAACATTTTTATCACTATATTTTTTACTGTGACTATCTTTTCTAATTTTACCAGTAGTTTCTTAACAAAATTTCTAACTCAAAAGGACAACTCCATTAAAGATTGTCTATCTTAGAACAAAAAAATATAACTTGAAAGAATGTCATTAAAATTTGAATTTGCAGATTTTGTTTTAAAAAACGAAAACCTCTTTCAATAAATTCATAAAAGCTATATCAGCTTCAGATTGAAAGAAATGGCCATTATATAAAAGAAATTCATTAGCTGTTAAAGAGTCTCAAAGTGAAAAATGTGGCCATTATATAAAATACATTTATTGGAAGCTGTAAAACAGTTTCAAATTCAAATATGTAGCTGTTACATAAAAGAAATTCATGAAAAGCTGTAAAACAGTTTCAAATAATAGGTGTGGCTATTATATCAAATATATTTATTAGGAGCTGTAAAACAGTTTCAAATTGGATGATATGACTATTATGTAAGTGATAATGAAATAATTTGTGAAAGAAACATTTATATGGCAAAGATTATGCGATTGTTGACTTGAGAATGATGAAAATAGAATCTGTCAGATGAATCAAAGAATTTTTTTGCTGGCAGCTGAATTGACTATTTTATCCATTTTGAGAAAACTGAATTTGCAAAATAAAGAAAATAAATTTTCTTTCCTGTTGAAAATGCAATAAGAAAGAAAGATTAATATGCAAAATTTTATCAGTAGAAAATTGTTGTATTTATTTGTTTTTCTGTTAAAAATCATATGAAATTTGAATTTATATCAATAATACATACATATACACACACATGCATATATATATATATATATATATGCATTTTACATTATTTTTTGTAGTTTGTAATGTCATTATTGTCAGTTATGTCATCTTAAGAAACTATTTAATTTCTTTTGAGATATAAAAACAAAACAAAATACCTTGGAATCTTATGAACACTTTGCTTACTTTCCTTTTAGCATGCCAAAGGAAACATTTGTCAAAGTCACTTATGCAAATATGATAAACCTTATGTGACTGAAATAGTTCAATAATTCTCCAAATTTAACAAGTCAAAACTCATGATAATTGCAAAGATGGTAATAATGATAATTATATTTGTTGTAATTAACAATAACCATTATTGTAGAAATCATAACAACTTCTTTTAAATGACACAAAAATAAGGTGTTTGTTTTTGTAAAGAATAAAAAAATGAAAAAATATCAAAGAAAATTATTTGAAACTATTTCAGCACAAAATCCATCCAATATATTTCTGTTTCATTTCATGAAAAATCTTTGTAATTGCATTAAGAATAACAACAGCATTACTTACACAATGTTTCAAACATTGTACCCTCTGGCCTTCATCAGGTACTTGTCGATCCAGGTGACCTTCATAGAAGCACCTGATGATGGTCAGAGAGCACAACAGCCAAATGTGATAGCAACAACAAAGATGAGTACAATAGTCCACATGTAAATAAGTCCTCATCCTAGAAATTCAGACAGAAATAACTTCTGTGATAGTTATGAATTCAGTTGAGAAAGTATTCCATAAAATGAAATTCATTATGACATGTAGGTAACAGAATAGTTAATTCTTTACACAACCAGGATCAACCCCAGAGTATTCAGCACCTTAGGCCAGCTAAATAATATGGACTCTCTTCACCCTACCAAATAAATTTTGATAAGTCAATTACACTGAATTATTTGGATGACTGCATTATGTTAATTAGCCAAATGTTAAGCAGTTCATGTTCTAAGGATTTCAACATCCAAGATGATCACTTACTTTGCCTAATGATGATTCTGCCCACAATTACAAATGAACACAAAGTAATTTCCACAAGGTCGTAATTTTAAAATCTGTCAATG